GGCCCTAGACTCATCACCAGTGCTGTGCCAAAACCAGGAATATATAACTCTCAGCTGAAACAAGCAAATCTACTAGGAATCTTTGTAATGGAGCTAGTGCCTTAAGGTGCTGTGGGATGGTCTGTATGTCAAATTGCTCTGATTGGTCAATAAATAAAACACTGATTGGCCAGTGGCCAGGCAGGAAGTATAGGCGGGACTAACAGAGAGGAGAATTGAGAGAATAGGAAGGCAGAAAGAGACACTGCCAGCCGCCGCCATGACAAGTAGCATGTGAAGATGCCGGTAAGCCACGAGCCACGTGGCAAGGTATAGATTTATAGAAATGGATTAATTTAAGCTATAAGAACAGTTAGCAAGAAGCCTGCCACGGCCATACAGTTTGTAACCAATATAAGTCTCTGTGTTTACTTGGTTGGGTCTGAGTGGCTGTGGGACTGGCAGGTGAGAGAGATTTGTCCTGACTGTGGGCCAGGCAGGAAAACTCTGGCTACATTAAGGGACATGCACTCGTTAAGCTTGGAGGAGGGCAAAGAATATAACCAAAATATATTGTATGAAAACTCTAAAAGAAATAAAATAACCTGGAAAAACAAAATCCAAAATAAATAAATAAAGCAAAAAGAAGAGCCTGTCCTTTCAGACTCTTTTCTTCTCCTCTCTGGCTCCCCCGTGTGGCGGTCCTGGGTTCAACACTTCGACAATGGCACTTCCTGGAAAGACAAGGCCTGGAAGGGAGACGGTGTGCTGGGGGAGGTGGTTCAAGGAGGTTCAGGACTCCTGCCAACTGAGTCAGTTCTCAGCCGCGGCAGGGCTCAACTGAAGCGTGATGACAATGGTGGAGGGTATGTCTGCCAGTGTTTGGGGTGGGAATGCAGGCAGAAAGAAGGAAACAGAGACCTGCTGGGTTGAAAGGCCGGGTCAATACACTCTGGAGCTTTGAGAGTCTTTTGTCTGTTGGGAGAAGAGGGACAGGGTCACCTACACAGTGGTACAATGGTTTAGGCTGCAGGGTTAATAAGGCGGATGTATGCGCTTGCGGAGAGGCGGCTCAGCTGGTATGCACACACCCAACAACGGAGCCCGCCGCCGCACAAACACAAGGACCCGAGTTGTGGCTTCAGTCTTGGATCTACTACTAGGGGGTCTCCCTAACCTTCCTCTAGAGCAGCAGGTCGCAGAAGGAAGTGATCTGTCCCCTCTCTTAGGACAGCTGGCCGTATGGGGACACAGTTTTGGTTGTCAGATGGGTGAGTGGACTTTCACCTACTCCAAAGGGCTGATCCCCCCAAACCATGTAAAAAGCTGGGGGCAGTGGTACATGCTTGCGGTCACAGTACTGGGGATGTGAATGCCTGGAGCTCACTGCCCCTCCAGCCTCGCTTAATCAGTGAGCATCAGGTTCCAGGGAGAGTCTGTCTCAAAAAATAAGGTGGACAGCTGAGAAATAACACCCAGAGTTGATCTCCGGCCTCCACATGTGCACATATGTACCTGCACACACACACACACACACACACACACACACACACACACACACACACACACACAAATACATTTTAATTTGTTTGTATGCAAAGAGAACTGAAATTACAGTCATGTGGAATAAGGCTAGGGCCAGGATGATCCCAAGCATGATCACGCCAAGGAACTGCCCCAGGAACTGCCGTGGGAGGGGCTACGCTTGGTAGGAGACTCCAGTCTATTGGGTAGAAGGAAATACAGGCACTGGGGAGTGGAATTTGAATGACAGGGGCCTGCTTAGGTTCGTCTCTTATAATCTGCACATTCCATGTCAAAAAAAAAAAAAGTGTGTCACCAGCCAGAGCTGCCTGGCTCCGGAGAGCAGGGTAGGATGGGAATCAAAGGACAGCCAAGCGCAGCATCCTTGCTTGAGCTGGGCTTTCACAGGAGCAACAGAGGGGCCAGGCTGCCTCACTGTGAGCATGCTGGGGAGCCACTGAGGGCTTTCATCACTGAGTTACATGGTAAGAGCACTTTTAAAGCCACTGGAAATGTAAAACACTTCAGGATGCCCCCCCAAAAAGAACCACAGCTGTTCCAGCAATGTGTCCTGCCCCTCAACTAACAGCCACGGCATTCTCTGGCAAACAGGCCGAGGCTGAAGCCGGGACCTGGGTAGGCCTGCAGGAGACGTGTCCAATCACACGAAGGGTACCCAAGGGAAAGGCATCCGCCGTCAGGATCGCTGAGGAAAGACTTGAAACCATGGATCTTTGGGCTGGCAAAAGCAGGCAACTATCAGTGCCCTCCTCGGGAGGGACGGGGACCGCCGAGTGGCCTCAGGAGTTTGCAGCTGAAGCTCTGAGCCATCCTGCCCCTCCTTCCTCTGCTGAGACAGCCAGAAATCGGCCATTATTGCTTTCAGAAAGGTGAAGGCCAAATCCGATCTTTAGGATGATCTCAGTCACAGTTTGGAAAATGTATGAAGGGCTAGGAGTTGCAGTTCAGTGGTGGATCGTGAATGCCTCGTGTGAGTGCACAAGGCTCCAGGTTCGATCCCCAGTACCACCCCCCCCCCCCACACACACACACAGGTATAAGCTTGTACAGAAGAGGGGATGCATGATAATCCATGTAAGACTGCTTCTCTCCAGCTGTTGAAAAATCTATGCCCTTCTTTCCCTCAAAGGGAAAAGGTCAGTGAAAAGGAGGGATGTCACCAGGATGAGACCTCACAACAGACACGGGCCCTCACCTAGTGGAGCTCAGGCCCAGGCCCCTGCCTCAATAAATCCACCGGAAGATGTCAACGGGTTCAATAGCCAGGTGGAGGAGAGCACCAGGCTACCTTCATATGCAATAGAATCCAAGCAAAGGCAGACACCAGCACGGACAGGGGGGTGGGTGGTTCAAAGCCTGGCTTTCCCCACAGAGCCTGGTGGGGTACTCTACTGAAGGCTAGGGCCAAGCCTGTCCAGGTCACATGCCACAGCACCCCAGGAACCCGGACCCACACAAGCTGTTGGCTGCTTGGGGCCACTAGCACCGTGTGGGTTTCTTACAGCTCTGTGATGTTGCAGGCCTGTTTCTGTGATGGACAGCTGTGATTCAGTTAGCCAGAGGGCTCTAGGATGCCTCTTCTTCCGAGGAGGCAAGGCAGACAGAGCTCTGTTGTCCGATGAACTACTAGAAAGCACCCCTCCTGGCCATCATTCCAAGAAAGAGACGGTGTGTCATAAACCCATGTGCTTCCCAGCCTCTGTCCACAGCCCTGGGAGTTGGCCCACAGCCTAGAGGCTTTACCACCTCAGCACAGCTGACAGCTGGGGCCAGCTGTGGTCATACTGTAACATGCAGAACGCTTAGCGGCAGCCCTAGCCTCTATGCTCTGGGTCCCAGGAGCACCCACCCAGCCAACAACCCAAACCAACTCCAGATATGACCAGATGTCTCGGGGGAGGGGGCACATCGCTTCCTTCTGCAGCCTGCTGTTCTAGAGGGAGGCATGGAGGGACCCCAAGAGGCAGATCCAGTAGTGGGGAACCGGGCTCCAGGATGGGGTGTGTGGGTAGGGTTGGAAGCAAAAATGAAGAGACCAGACAGTCTCCAAAGAGAAAGGGAAACTGGACAAGACGGTTGTGTAAATACGCTTTTAGGGGTGTGTGCCACCTGCACCCCCACCTCTATCTTGGAGGAGGGTGTTCATTAACTGGCTGCCTAGGGTGGAGCTCAGTCAAAGCACCAGGCTAGCAAGCTTCAGGTTCCACCGCCAGCACCAGAAAAACCACAAGACGAACATTGCTCATCAGTGCTTCCCGAGTCGTGTGAGGACCGGGCTGGACCCAGAAGCCTGGCTGCAGGCTACTCTAGAGCAGCCGTGATTCCAAAGACTGGAGAAGAGGTATCAAAATGCTCAAGGCACAACTTAGGACCAGTTCGGTATTAACCTTGTAAAAGTACGTGTCAAATTTGTTTCCTAACAATGCTTTTCCACGGGAGACAACAGGGGACCTGGGAACGCCCACAGGTGTACCAGGCATTTGAACACCGTGGAGCTTATGCATGGAGGCTGTGGGGACTTGAGACCCACTCATGACTCCTCCATAATGCCTGCCTGTTTTTCCCTCTTCAGGGTCGGAGTTTGCCCCTTCCTCACCTGGCTGGAAACACAGGACAGGAAAGAGCTATTTTTTCTTAACTGTATCTCCAAGTCCTCTATGTTCCTGGGCCTGGAGTATATGGGACACCTAAAACCTTGTCAAATTAATAAATGGCTAATATCCTAGGACACACTTTACTTCCCTCAACCTGCAGGAAAAAGCCCATGGCAAATATCACCTCCTCGGGGAAGCCTTCCTTGATTTTTTTTCCTCTTGGCACAAAAAATTACACTGTGTACCCAAAACACTGGGCTGATACTTACTACACGCATGTCCCAGCATATACCAGTCAGTTGTGTTACAATCCCCCACCAGAATGTAAGCTCTCTGTGGACCATTTTGATGTTATCCTTTATTATGCCTATCCTCAACAGCACTTGGTATATAACAGGTAACCGATGAATGTTTACATAATAATCAATACATACTGTCCTCTGTCGGCATCCCGGACCCTAAACATTACAGTTCACATGCACTGTCGTTTACGTGCTTTGCAAAGCTCAGAATCATGAGACATTGAGGACACCACGCTCCCATTGCGTCAAGCAGAGAAAGAACACTTGCCCAACCCCTTTTGAAGGTTGGTCTGAGAAGTCTGGAAGGATCTATGATCTAAAGGCAAGATGACATGTAGAACTTCAGGCCCATGAGGGCCATTCAGACCTTCTAGAAACTTCTCTAGGGTTCACTCTGTTCCCACCTGCACCCATACTTGGATCAGAGCCCTGGGCCAATCAGACTTCTCCTTGTCACTTTCCCCAGCTCCCCCTGGAAGGGTGTGTCTGAGGCTCCACCTGGCAGAACAGCCTGTATATAGGGAATCAAGCCACCCACAGGGGCTGCTCTCCAGCACGGCCTGTAGGCTCCCCTGCTTACCTGGTTGGAGGTCGGGGCAAGAGTGCTTTCTGGAGAGCGTCTATCCAGGGCAGGCCCCTCCTTCTGTCTGCAGTCCAGCTGGATCAGGCTGCGGCACTCTGGGTGGCAGGTGAATTTACAATCTAGAGGGAGAGAATCAAAAGGATCGGGGGTCAGGTCGACATCTACTCCCTCCACCCAGAGAAATTAGAGGCTGCATCAGCTCTGATGGGAAGAGCAGTATAACGGGGCGGGGGGTGCAGGGGACTGTGTAAGGGTGATGCCTGACCTCTGCGCCACAGCAAATGGTGGCAGCAAATGCTTCACACCTGTGCAAACTGCTTCCACCGGCATTATATGGTGTGACCTGGAGTCTTCAGCGATTTCTTCAGTCAGACCATCTGGCTATATACCGGTGCCCATTCTACTAATTCATATTGATAACCAGAGGCCACATATCCAGGGGAGGGTCTCCTTTTATCAGTATATAAAACATAGGTTTATCACCCAGTCTGTGATGTAAAGATGTTTAGGCAGGCATAAGAAGGTATGTTGGGAAGAATTCAAAGGTCTCCAAAGGCAGAGTCATTATCAATAAGCATTTTCTCTCTAGCCCCGTCAAGACCAGCAATGTTGGAGTGATTCTCTTAAGCCCATTAGAATGGCCTCCTGACAATATCCCAAACTAGGAGAAAAGCACATTCCGGAGGTGGTTCTCTTCCATGGAAGTAGAGATTTTTTTTTTTTTTTTTTTTTTTTTTTCGAGACAGGGTTTCTCTGTGTAGCTTTGCGCCTCTCCTGGAACTCACTTGGTAGCCCAGGCTGGCCTCGAACTCACAGAGATCCGCCTGGCTTTGCCTCCCAAGTGCTGGGATTAAAGGCGTGCGCCACCACCGCCCGGCCGGAAGTAGAGATTTAACGTCCAGAAGTAAGAAGAACCTGCAGACTTTCATCGAAGGATTTCCTTAAAGCCAGGGATCTCCCAGAGACTGGAGGTGAGGTAAAGAAAGACCTGAGGGGCAGAGCAGAGGCTGCTGTCTCCCACCTGTCTCCGGGCCTTCGTCAGGAGCCTCCTTGGCAAAAGGGAAGGGAAGGCAAAGGGGCCAGGAGGCAAAGAGACTTAGCCAGAGGCTAAGAGGAGAACCGGACAGGAGGGGAGGGGCTGGGGAAAGAAAGGGTAGAAACAGAAGAAATGATTGCCAGCAGGCAGCAGGCAGCACCGTTCCCACAGACGGCTGCTGGGTCAGCTGTGGCCCCTCGTCCTGGAGGGCCACAGCTCAGTCAGGGCATAGCCTTCCACGTACTGGCTTCCCCAACTGTAAAGTCAGGTGCCTGAGGTGAGCCAGAGCAGCTGGGTTTTGTGGCAGGGACCTCAATGCCTGGGCTTGCATAGGTAATCCGAAAGTCAGAAGACCGCTTTTGGTTGACGATGGCTCAGGCACCCCGAGAATCCCTTTCAGCTAACAAACTTCAAAATTTGTCACATTTGGTCTCTTCTTCTCCAAGCTGCCAAGTGGCACACCCTATCTTGGGGTCCTTGGCAGCTGGGTTTCTTCCCACTTAGCTGAGGAGTTCCAGAACTAGATTCCCAGATGCCTCCCTAAGTCTTCCCAAATGAGCCCCCAGGCACCAGTCAGGACCACTAGGGACCCTGACAAATATAGGGACACACAGAGTCCAGAACTCTCCATCCTCCTTCTTCCATGGTCTAACTTCCCATCCACCTTTCTGGGTTGGCAGTTAGAGTCTTAGTGTTCATATCCTTCAGACCCTGAGGTAAAGCCACCAGCATCCCCTTCTTTAGCCCTGAGCTCTTGCCTAGGGTCATCCTTGTTTGCTTTCTACTGGTGTGATTAAACACTATCACCAAAAGCGACTAGGGGGGCAGGAAAGAGTTTATCTAGGTTTACGGTTTACAGTCAGAGCGGGAACCCAGAGGCGGGCACTGAAGCAGAAGCCATGGAGGAACACTGCTTGCCATCAGCTCGCTACCTTTGAGTATGAATGAGAACGCCCCCCCTAGACTCACATCTTTGCATGCTAGGTCCCTGGTTGGTGAATGGTTGGGAAGGATTGGGGGGCGTGGCCTTGTTGGAGGAGGCGTGTCACTGGGAGGTTTCAAAAGCCGAGACTAGGCCCAATGTCCCTCTCCACCTGCTGCTTGAGGAACAGGATGTAAAGCTCTCACCCGCCACTCAAGCACCATGCCTTCCTGCTTGCCGCCATACTTCCTGCCAGGATGATACTGGGCTAACCCTCTGAAACTGTAAGCAAACTCCCCATTAAATGCTTTCCTTCACAAGAGCTGTCTTGGTCATGGTGTCTCTTCACAGCAATAGAACACTGACTAAGACACTCTCCACGACTTACTCAGCTTGCTTTCTTATACAACCCAGGACCACCTGCCCTGAGGTGGCACCACCCGTAATGGGCTATGCTTTCTCACATCAATTATCAATCAAGAAAATACCCCCATAGACTTGTCCAATCTGATGGAGGCATTTTTCTCAATTGAAGTTCCCTCTTCCCAAATGACCCTGGTTTTTGTCAAGTTGGGTGGGGGGAGCAAAACAAAAAAAAAACCAAAACCCAACAGAAGTCATAACCGGCAAGGTCAGTCCTCTAAGACAACACCACGTACCTTCAGGGTCTCACGGGTGTCTTGGGGCTCCTGTGACTGCCACACAGCTCACCCTCAGTGGGGAAAGGGCACAGAGGGCTATGTGGGCCAAGTTCACCCACAGCATCCAGAAATGCCAGGACTTTCTGACAGTGTAACACTGAGGGCAGAACCAATGCGTGGGACTGTTTAGGGCTCAGCTCTGGAACACGCCTGGCGGACTCCTGGTCATTCCCTGAGTGGTGAAGAATGCTCCATAATCAAGAAGTGAGAACCTGAAAAGGAGGGCAGGCTAGAAGCTCTGCCAGCTCCAAGGCAGGTGAGAGCCACCACCTCCACAGGGGGAGAGCCTCCAGAGAGCTCAAGGTTTCTTCCCATCCCCTCGCAGGGCTCGCATGATTGGCACGTTCTGCCCATCTAGGCACCTGTGTTGGTCTCTTGACTTCCATTGCGCTCTCTCTCTCTCTCTCTCTCTCTCTCTCTCTCTCTCTCTCTGCCTCTCTTTGACACCCCCCACCCCCCTGTAGTGGGTAGCCATTCCAGCTTTGATCTGTAAGTTCCAACCCCCATTGAGACTTCGGCAACTGTCACGCCTACAAGGCGGGGCGAAAGGAGGCGCCTGGGGACCCGAGATCTGGATCGGCTGGCGCTCTCTCTGTTGCGGGACCCTGGACTAGAGAGGTGGACCAAGCAGAGCTCCAGAGAACACCGCTGGACTGCGATACACCTTCCCCAGACTCCGCGACCTACCTATCCCTTAATTTGTAAGTTACGCCATTAAATAAATCTCCTTTTATCTACGTGGAGTGGCCTTAATAATTTCATCAATACCCCCCAAACCTCAGAAAGGTCTTTTTACAATCCTGACACTGAACTGGACAAAGATGGCAATGGAAGACTCCAAGAGCAGGTTTGGAATTTCAGAGAAGTGTATGGTAGCACACACCTTTAATCCTAGTACTCAGAGAGCAGAGTTCAAGGCCAGCCTGGTCTACATAGTGAGTTCTAGACCAACTAGAGTTACATGGAAGACCCTGTCTCAACAACAACAACAAAAGAAAACAAGAAATGCACACAAGCACTAATGACCTTCTCCAACAAGACCATGTCGTCATGGCTGCAGCAAAGATCCTGGAATACATCCTCATATTTCCTAACCCCTGGAAATGCTAAGCCCAGGGCTTCCAGGCCAGCACTGATGACATCTGAGCCCCTGTAGCACTGGTCCACATGGAAACAGTGTTCTGCAGGGCTGGGGTAGACCTTAAGTGGGACAATGCTCCATGTCTCAAAGCCTGGGCCATGTCCTAGGGACACCTGGGGGTAACTCCATAGACTTCCTTCTCTCAAGGCAGCTAGCTCATCACTACTACACAGTCCCTGACGCTGATGTCCTATTATATTCTACAACCTTTATCCGGTGTTCAGTTTGGACACAGGAAGATAGATCCTGGATGGAACTGGGCCATATAGATGTCACCATCTCTGCTGAAGCACTCATGTGCAAGGCCTGGACTGCCACATACTCTGTGCTAGCCTAAAGGTAAGTCCAAGTAAGACAGGAAGGACTCTCAGCCAGATGTGGTGGTGCACACCTTTGATCCCAATGCTTGGGAGGCAGAGGCAGGTAGATTGCTGTGAGTTCAAGGCCAGCCTGGTCTACAGAGTAAGTTCCAGGACATCCAGGGTTACACACAGAAACCCAGTCTTGAAACAAACAAACAAAAAGACGTGACTCAGGACCCAGGGAGCAGTGAGGACACACATAGGAAGCAACTCACAAGGTAGCTGAAAGCCAGGCTCCCCTCGGCACAGATCTAGGAAGCTGGTTCAGTCCTGGGAGCTAGGGAAGCCAAAGCAGGCTTGGGATGAAGGTGCCTACGAGGCATGGAAAGAAAGGAAAGACTGCAGCCAGTTCAGGTGCCCTCATTACAGGGAACACAGGGATGGGGCCTGCCATCACTGAAGAGCTAGGACAAAGATCTCACCACCAAGAGGCAACAAAAGATTAGGGAGCAACATTCCCAAGCCCTAGCCAGAGTTTCTGGGCATTTTAATTAGTGTACATTGATTGTACAAAATGATGGGTTTTAGTGTAGCATTTTCAGACATGTACATCATGTTCTAGAGAATCCCACTTCTTCCCTCCCCGATTCCTCTCTATGTGATCTAGATCCCACCTGTGAGAGAAACCATGATATCTGCGTAAGTCGACTTTCTTCGCTCAACATGATTTCCAGGTCCATCTTTTTGTTTGTTTTTCCAGAGAGGGTACCCTGGCAGTACTGGAACTCGCTCTGCAGACCAGGCTGGCCTCGAATTCAGAACTTAGAGATCCACCTGCCTCTGCCACCCAAGTGCTGGGACTAAGGGCGTGTGCCGCCACTGCCCGGCTTCCACTCATTTTCTTATCGATGGCATCATTTTGTTCTTCTTTAAAGCTGAATGAACTCCCTTGTGTGCAGACTCCACCCATCTGCTGATGAGCGTCTGGGTCGATTCCATTGCCTGCCTACTGTGAAC